AAGACCCAAATAAATACATTATGTAATAAATATCTTGGATGTGTTTTACTTGTCCATTATTACGTCCTCACGCTACCGTCGCGTCGTGGGAACGTGAAATAAACGACCAACATCTGCCCCCATTAAACTGTGTCTCTTCAAAAATAAACAAAAAACAAAAACACTATTTAGTGTCGTGTATGATAAATGCTAATATGTATAATATTATGTTTCTGATAGTCCTGCGAACGGAAAAAACATCTTTTCATAATTAAAAAAAATACCCTGTAATTAATTTAGTATTCATAGTTTTCTTTTCTTTTATGTAATGTCATTTAATATTTATGTACATATATTGTAATTCACCATTAGACTAAAACAAAATTATTAAGGAGTTGACAAGTTTTTGCGTTAAAATTGAAATTTTAGCAATTCAGAAGCCGTTGCAAAGCGTGGCGGCTACAATTACAGTGACACTGCGGGATCATACTAGAACGAAATTATGCCAATTTTATCAGTATACCTAAGGTTGTCTGTGTAATGTTTAATGAAGATAGTAAAGTGGAACTTTTAGGAACGCGAGGAGTTAAGTTGTGTGATTTGTTTTATTTTGTCTATTTAGTGTTTCTTCAGGTTTAAATATGTAACAACGGTGGTTTATTTATTAACTGTTTAGTATCTGTGAAAGTGCACAAATGTGGGAAAAACAAAAAAGCCGCTAAACGTAACTTCTCGAGATCCTCCAAAAAGTCTACTGAAAGTCTCAGTAAATGACCACCATTTTACTGAGATTATATTTCATACTATCTCATCTCTTTTCATTTCATTTCACTACATATTAACACTTTTTATAAAAATAAGAATATAAATTAAAATAAGATTTGACCTAAAGATCTCAGATATAGTGTGTGTTCATCGCATCTAACTAAATATCGATCGGCAACCCCATTAAACGTGGAGTAGACCTAGGAAGCGATGATGATGATGCTGAGACAGAAAAAGAGAGCTATATAAAGTAAATTTAATGATATTTATTGAAATTATAATTGAATGTAATCGCAATTTCTCTAGAAACTTTTATTTTACGAAAATGATATCCCAAAGATAACGATGAAAAATGAAATGAGGCTACAGGAAATCTTTATTCGCAATTATTATATTTTAATAAAAAGAGGAAAGATTAAGAAATTGTTAGAAAATTTAAATTAGATGCAATACAATATATAAACAAAATGTTATTGCTTTCAAAAATACAAGCTGTTGTACGTGACTACCATATTCGGTCACCGGCATTGATGGTCATAAAATAATTTGCAAACGAAACGCTGTCATTTAGTAGTTAAGCAAAATTTACTGCCTGGTTCTCTCTATACGATACTTTATTTTCATCAAACAACTAAAATTAATCAACGTACCCTCTAAAGCAAACTATTCTACTATACTTAATACTATACTCATAATAATATTCTATTTTGGTCCGTATATCACGGTGATCACATATAACGTCATAGAACACTGCCTGTTCCCTGATTTTGATCGGTTCATTGTACGCTGAGAGTGAGAAATTACAAAACTGGTTGTCTATTTCGAAATAGTTTCCAAATTCTTGGTGACATGTAGAGAGACTTAGGCATGATATCAATAAATTAATTAGATTATATTATTGTTTCAACAGTATTTTTGGTTGCTATACCTACAGCAAAACGTTACATTAATACACTACTCGTCGAACTGGGCAAAGAGTTCGGCATGCAACCTAACCCATGCATCAGCCCGCTGAGTTTCTCGCCCAATCATCTCAGCGGGTCGCGATTCCGATCAGGTAGTAGATTCATTGGCGAAGCAGTTGCTCTTGAGTTGTTAGATCTCCTTTGGAGGCGTTCAGGCAGCTGTTAGCAAATCCCACCCCTCCTGGCTGAGCCTTTGCTCGCACACCGTACTGGTGAAACAGGAAAGACCTCTGGGCCACTAGTAATCCCTCATTCATAAAAAAAAACGAACACATTGCTGTCAAAATTCATTTTATAGTATATCATGTATATTCTAGAATAATTCGATCACCGATGTACTTAAAGAAATATCAGCCAACGATTAACAAACAAAACAACAGTAAATACTGTATAATAGTTCTGTTCTAAGCTAAACTTAAGAAACACGTAAGCAATATTTACACACGAGTTCCGACCCAATCGAACTTTCTCTTTGGGATATAACGAGAATTTGGTGCGTAAGCTAAAGTGTTGCTTAGAAGATTCGCTTTGGAAAGTGTTAATTTTTTTTTGGCAAATAGATACACCTCGCGCTGACCTCATAGAACACATAAAACATGAATAGCAAATATCCCTTACCCTTGTAATCGGAACGCATAGTTGTGTCGTAAACCTAGGAATGACGACGGTTCCATCTACAACAATGCTATTACCAGTAAATACGTTTAAGTATATAGAAACGAGTAAAGTTTTATCCTTCTTGGTAGTTATAAAAATAGATATGAAAATACGCGTATTCAAAGATTTCATCTAATGAAAGTTTGCGTAGAAGAACTTCAATGCCCACCAAATTAAATGTGCTCTACATGTTATTTTGGTTCCGTATGGCTTGACTTTTATGTTTTCTCTTTTTATCAGTACTCTTAAATTAACATACAATCCGCTGTTCCTTCAGAGACTATAGAAGCGTTCTTACAGAGTAAAATTGATTTTTTTTTAAATGTCTATATATATATTATATATAAAAATGAATTGCTGTTCGTTTGTCACGCTAAAACTCGAGAACGGCTGGACCGATTTGGCTAATTTTGGTCTTGAATATTTGTGAAAGTCCAGAGAAAGTTTAAAATGTAAATAAATATGAAAATGCTCGGAATTAAATAAAAAATTACAATTTTGTTTTTCCTTTGATGTGTCCCCCGTCGGACATATTCCTTTTGTTTGTTTTAAGTTTATTTTATATAAAAGTTTAGGTCTTTTATTTATCGATTGAAGCACTACAAAGTCTGCCGGGTCAGCTAGTTTCTCATAAAAATAATATGTGGTCATAACACGATTATGCACGAATTAGCGCAATGGATTATTATTACGGCAGCACTTACGAGATACTGTTGATAATTAAAGTTTGCTGCAATTACTGAAGCGAATTATGTTTAATAATAGGCATTGTTCAATTGATTATTGTCTATTGGCTAATATCTGATTCGCGTCAGCATATTTTCGAAATAAATTTGAATAGTAGTTTTTTATATGTGTTCTGTGTGACTTTGTTCACCTCGACTTGACCTCACATGTGGTCATAGTATCGAATAACATCCATCTCCTACTCATTAAACTAGAACTTCTGGTGTTTCGATCTTTTTTCCTACTTAAGCTGGTAGCCTAGGTGGTTATGCCAGCGTAACCGGGCGAGTAGGTGAGCTCACGGGGCTTCGACCTGAGGACGTTGTTAACACTAGCCCTAGCAACTAGGCACTAGCCTTCGCAGAATTTAACACCGCATCGAAATCGCAACCTCCTGAGAAGATCTGGCGAGAAACCCAGGGGGCTGATGCATGCGTTAAATTGCACGTCGAACTCTTTGTCCTAAGTCTGCTCCTAGCGTAAGAGCTGAAGAGGTCTAGTGCAAGAGTAATTGTATCTGATGGATCCGTATGGACGTGGATAACGAAGTCTGCATTATTAATTTATAGGCATATATAGATATAGCTATATTTGCATTATTAATCTGTTTGTAAATTGATATGTGTGTATGTATATGTGACGTATTTAATTATAGTACTGTTTCTACATAGCATGTTTTATGTGATATCGGAAACACAGGCTTGGATACAAAACGTTGCAATGGATCCAACATTTAGAAAAATAAATAAATCTTTAAAATTATTAAGTTACGTTGATTACGATATAACACGGCTTGGAAGTATGTACTTTCATCATAATTAACTGACTCTTCTCTCAGTACAGGTAGCATACATATTCACGCAGACTTTCCAGTAAAAAAATCCAATTATCTTGCATCGCAATGTTTGACAGCATTTTTAAAAAGTTATGAATTTCATACTTCTTTTGTTTTCTGATATAAACTATGAAATATTAGAGATCGGAGCTGTCCTTTTCGTTTTGAATTTTATAAAATGTAGACCATTTCAAATGACCTCTCTACATCCAAATAAAGGCTGTTGAAATTATGACCGTATCAACGAATAGCTAGTTATTTTGTTCTTTAATATCGTTTACCCTAAGAAGCTTATATCTAATTTTTAAAACTGATTGTTTATATGTGTGTGTGTGTGTTTTTGTATGTGTATGCGCTCACGGCTTTTAAGCCATTTGAATTTTCGTATGTTATGTGGTTCGCGCGTGGTTTCATAAATAGGTGTTTCTCGTACTTTTGGCAATAGTTCACAGTGGAGCGTGGTTGAGTTTCACTAGTTTACTTTTTTTGTTTAACAGTAGCCTCGAGGGGTGTTATTCTGGTTTCGTGTAGGCGAACACACGGGTCTTAGCTTAAATTTGACTGAGACATTGCCTAGCAAGAGCCTTTTTTATTGCTTAGATGGGTGGGCGAGCTCACGGCCCACCTGATGTTAAGTGGTTACCGGAGCCTATAGACATCTACAACGTAAATGCCGCCACCTACCTTGAGATAAGAGTTCTAAAGTCTCAGTATAGTTACAACGGCTGCCCCACCCTTCAAACCGAAACGCATTACTGCTTCACGGTAGAAATAGGCAGGGTGGTGGTACCTACCCGTCCAGACTCACAAGAGGTTCTTTCTACTACTAGTAATTACGCAAATTATAATTGTTTTGCGGGTTTCGGTTTTTATTACACGATGTTATGCCTTCACCGTGGAAGTCAATCGTGAACATTTGTCAAGTACGTATTTAATTTAAAAAATTAGTACCCGCCAGCGGGATTCGAACACCGGTGCATCGCTCAACACGAATGCACCGGACGTCTTATCCGTTAGGCCACGACGACTTATTATTTGGCCTGGTTTACAATAAACTGTTTTTTTTTTTGCAGTTGGATGGCTAGTACGGGCAGACGACGAGCAACACGATGCGAGAGAAGGGGACAACGTCACCATGCAATGTCGGTTTTCATTGGAGCCCCTCGCCGGAGAACCCCTCACCTACTACTGGGTGCGGAGCACTGCCAGCGGACACGAAAACGTTGCGATAGGCAATATTCCCCTCGAAACGAACTACCAGTAAGTTATTCTTTATCTTTATCGTTGCAACTGGCGGCCCGCTCCGGCTCCGCTCGGGTCTTTAACAAAAATTTCAACGATATATGACGTTGTTTTATGTTTTTAAATAAAAGAACACTTATTACGGCATAACTATAATAGTCAGACATATCCTGTCGCGACACTTTTTGTAAATGATAATGTGTTCTACAAAGTCCTAGTACATTATTTTATTCTATCGTCAATAGTTTTCGCAGGGCGCGCGATGTAAAGAATATTTTAGGTAATTTTTTTACACCTTGGGTCACATTACGAGTATTAGAGTTTTAGTAAGGATCCCTAACTTTTTCAAAAAAGATTATTATAGCCTATGTCACTCCGAAATAGTGAAGCTTCCGAACAGTGAAAGAGTTTTTCAAATCCGTTCAGTAGTTTCGGAGCCTATTCAATACAAACAAACAAATGAGTCGACTATTATCAAAGCCGGCAATCTGACTTTTGGACAATGATTGGTAAATCAGAAAAACGAATTATTGACTTTGTATTCCATTGGCAGTCACAAAACTCTTCGGAACGACATCTTAGATAAATAACAGGTTAACTATTAACCTTTATTTAATGCAGGTTTTGAACCGTATTNGTATTCCATTGGCAGTCACAAAACTCTTCGGAACGACATCTTAGATAAATAACAGGTTAACTATTAACCTTTATTTAATGCAGGTTTTGAACCGTATTCTTTGAAGGAGACGATTATATTCAAATCAATCTGTATTGACATATCAATAAAAATTTTTTGTCCAAATGCACAGATTGCCACCTTTGATAATAGACGACTCAAATCTTTCCTCCTTATTATATTAGTATAGAAGTATAGATAATAAAATACGTCCATTTCATGCGTGTTAAATACGTATTTAAAAAGTATTTAAAATTGATTTTATTGAATGCGACTTTTCGTTGTTTAATAACAATGGATTTACCGCGAATATTTTCATTTACTATAAGTAAATCGATGAAAAGTCTTTTGCTTCTAAATCATTGGTCAATTTTAAATACATAAATCGTATTTCCATAAAATTTCAGATTCTACAAACTATATTCCTTGCCAATCCAATGTCATCACTGCCTCGAAACAAAGTTAGTACTGCGTCTTGAATGTGAAATTGAAAATGCACAGTAAATTCTCACGATGTGAACAATAACCGGCACCAAGGGAAAGCAGAATGAACAACCAGCAAGTTTTTCATTAAAAAAATCATTAAAAATATAGATATATAGTTAACCGACGCCAACTGTGAGCACCCGTGAACACACTGGTTTTACTGGTGGTAGGACCTCTTGTGACTCCGCACGGGTGGGTACCACCACCCTGCCTATTTCTGCCGTGAAGAAGTAATGCGTTTCGGTTTGAAGGGTAGGGCAGCCGTTATAACTATACTCGAGACCTTAGAAGTTATATCTCAAGATGGGTGGCGCATTTACGTTGTAGATGTCTGTGGGCTCCAGTAACCACTTAACACCAGGTGGGCTGTGAGCTCGTCCACCCATATAAGCAATAAAAAAAACACTAAGTTACATACCAATGACTCAGGAGAAAATTAAAAACTGTTGTAGTTTCGAACCTAAGACCGATAGAAACTTAGAAGTGTCATCAATAATTCATTTATAAGAGCGCCTTTTTACTGTTCATAACTGTTTGCACAGATTAAAGGCCTTATCGGTTGATTTTTAATGCATTTTATATGCAAGCATTGTGAAATGAGGAATAGGGATGAAGATTTTTTGCCTAACTAAGACGAGCTCTCGGCTCACCTGATGTTAAGTGGTTACGAAAAACCATAGATATCAATAATGTAAATGCCGTCACCTACCTTGTGATACTATCTCTCGGTTTTAATAGTACAACGGCTTCCCAGCTTTAAATGTCTTTCGTAAAATATATTTGGAGATTATATTTTTACTGGTGGTAGGGCCTCTTGTGTGTCCGCGCGGATAGGTACCACCATCTTGCCCATATCTGCCGTGAAGCAGTAATGCGTTTCGGTTTGAAGGGTGGGGCAGCCGTTGTAACTATACTTGAGACCTTAGAACTTATATCTCAAGGTGGGTGGCGCATTTACGTTTTAGATGTCTATGGGCTCCAGTAAACCCTTAACACCAGGTGGCTGTGAGCTCGTCTACTCACCTCAGCAATAAAAAAAATAAAAAATTTAAAGGCGAAGGCAGGCTACTGGAACAAAAACCAAATAATTTGTTTAAAAGAAACCACCAATTATTCACTGAGCCAACAATAATGGTCGGTTAAAGCGAAATCCCCGCGGGCACGTGTTCACGACCGAACTCTTGAAGTTCGTTTATAAACCGCGTTAAATCGTTTGATAACACCTGAAAACCGGTATCAGCTTATCCGGAACGATTTTTGGTTTAACGCAAACATCCTTATTAACATCGGTTAATACGAAAATTTATTTATCAAAGTTTTCAGTTCCCTGCTTCCGTCGAAACAAAGTAACATTGAATTCGGTAATGAAATCATAAGTAAATGTATTCTTTGTGTTGTTGGTAATTTTGTGGAGTGCGAACGCGTATCTCTCGACCATTTTCTGGATTTTGGTCGGTATAAACGAGAAAAACCCATTAATTTGTCAGATATTCCGCGTTCGTATTCTGAGAGTTTCAAAGTGTCAATGTGTCGTGTTTTTATTGGAAAATATTATCTGGAAACAACAAACGGAAAGAAAATTATAAGCTTCGCACACGCCTTCCGAGAACCGAAATAAATCATGACTAAGCATTTTAACAACAATAAAATATGTCTTATATTTAGGTTGGTTTTAGCAATGTTTTTTTTTTGGAATGAGCTAAATTGGTGAGTGAACCGACGGCTTCGTGTTGTGAATTGGTTTGAGGAGCCCATAGACATCACATGAATGCCACCACTCACCTTGCAATATGAGGTTTAAGTCTCGATTGTGCTTGTACATATAATGGCAGTCTTCAAACCTGAAAAAATGACTGCTTCGCGTTAAAAATAAACAGCTTTGTGGTACTTGCCCGTGCTTCAGTAGGTATGTATGTATGTGACTACATATGTACATAGGCGTGTAATAAATTATTTAACTAACAGTTATTTTTGACTATTTTTCATTGAAAGAGCAATTTTATATGGGCATATGATGTGAAAAGTGATAGAAGATATATCAAAATTGATTATGATAAAATTTTAGAGCTCCTCAATAACTTACATTCTATAGATATCCACCCCACTTCCTCTTTTCGTCAAATTTGCTTGATTATTACATTACTATTTATAAATTAGTTACTATTTATAAGTATTGTAATTTCATTAATAAGTGGGCCCACTGAGTTTCTCGCCGAATCGTCTCAGTGGGTCGCGTTTCCGATCCGGTGGTAGATTTTGTGAAGCACTGCTCTTGCTGGAGTCAGTGTTAGCATCACTTGGGTTTGAGCCCCGTGAGCTCACCTAGTAGTTAAGGTTACGCTGAAATAGCCCCTCAAGGCTCTCAGCTTAGGTAGGAAAAAAAAATTGTATAACTTTTACAGCGAATTTTGACATAAACACTAAAATTTTATGTTATATTATACACCACTTAAAGTTTAGGGTTAATCTCACTTCGACTATTAAACAATTTGAAATATTCCTTAAATTACATAAGTAATACTTTAACAAAATAAACGTTTAAAAGATACATAATCGAATACAGATAAACTAAATTAACAATAGAACACGCGAGGGACTGAAAGAAACGAATGTAGGTAAACTTTACTTTCGCTGACATATCTGTTAAGATTAGTTTTGTTTCAGGATAACATACGCGCCGACGGAGGGTCGCTTCGACTTATTGGTATCGAATGTATCGTACGAGCGAGATAATGGGCGCTTCGAGTGCAGAGTGAAGGCGGGCGGGTCCGGCCGGACTCTGCATTCTCAGGGACATGCCCTCACTGTACTCATACAGCCCCGACCTCCTACCTTGACGCCGGGCACGCACACGCAGTCACAAGAGGGCCGAGAACTCAATCTTGCCTGTTCCAGCTCAGGAGGATCGCCCGAACCCACTATCAAGTAAGTAGACCGATTAAATTTCACATTACTAACAAAACTGTGAGAGCAAATCGAACGCAACATTCACATCGAACAAATTACGGGCCACAAAGCACAACTTGGGTAAACAAATACATATAACAATAGCGGAATTCCTGAAACCCATATTCAGAATCAGTTCTGAACACATATTACCGAGTACTGTCGCATGCCACTTTCTCATATAATTTTAATAATCAATCCACAATACAAATATAATTCGGCATTCGGATTTTCGGATAGTTATAATACAGACGTATAATCGAAAATAATAATTATGATTTTTTTTTTGCTCCATATTTCTGAATATCAAATGAATGTTACGGGAAATGGCACAGTAATGTACTCGTAATTGCGAGATAAAACGCTTTGTCTTTTCTCAATTTTTGTAGCACGTTGTATTTTACCTTTTAAAATTCGTTTAAAAGAATAATTATACAGCGTTTTATCCATGGTCGTTCTACAGAACTGTAATTACCAAGCTTCGGTCAGGACATTAGGAACAACGCACAGGGAAGATAAAAAGCTGATAAACGTGGTGATAAATTTCAGGTCGGCACTGACTCGTATTCAATTAGAGTAGGACGGAAACGAAAGGATACGATACCCGGCGGAGGAAGCCCGCTGAAATGACCGCACATTATATTCGGTACAAGCTATGAAATATGGGCGGAGGGATCTTAACGATTATTACGTTTCTCAGAACAGATTCATTCAACTGAAACGAATCACGAAACTTGTACCGGTTTGATTGATATGTCCCTTATTGCGGTTTAATTACAGTTTTAAATTCTGTATTTCAAACTGAATCTGAATGGAAAATGGAGAACAATTCCCTAAAATAATTAAGCCCTGATTTACGTTCTTCACACTGAATACAAAGAGTACATGTCTCTCCAAAGAAACATTCTCGCTCCAATACTTGTTCTTTTACGTCAGCGTTAAAAAACTGGAAATGGGTCGATGGTACCGTCACAGCCTTCCGTGTCATGGTTTGCATAAAAAGGTCGGCATCACACTCCTGGTGAAAATGAAAATGAGGTGTGCGAACACACTGCAAAAATGTACTCCGTATACGTTCGTGCGGGGAACTGACCCGGATCCATGAAGTATCATACGTTACCATACGAATCAGACGGTAGCTCGTTTCTGAATTAAAAAATTTGGTCGGCCTGTTTTGGGACCTTTAAAGGACGGCTTTTATAAAGTACTCATTGACTTAATAAAACGACACAGAGGAAATTGATAGGGTACACAGGCAGATAATAACATACTTTGCCTTTGAAATTGTCGTTTTTTTTTTAACTTGGCCAATTCTCCTTAATGGACGCCAAAATATCAAAATTATTTCATTTGAAAATTGTTTTATATAAATCGAACCCATATCATTATATAGAAAGGATAACAAGCAATACTTTTTTGTTCGTCTTTGTTGCCAAATTACGCAATTTTATTGCCAATTTGGGACATAATTATTTTTGATTTTCGTGGAATCACACATTTGTTCCTAATGGAAGTACGTTGGATTAAATGTGGGGAAAACAACCATTAGGCAGGTACTGTCATTTGCAATTACAAAATTAATTAATGGAAATTGATACTTAGAAATACGTCAATCCCTATTTTGATTGAAATTAACGCGAAAAATCGATTTGTTTTCTAAGACACATAACCTTCGTATTCTGAAAGTTTATTGCACTGTGTCATTGTTTTCGTTCTATCGGGAAGAAATATCTTAAAGCACCGGTTTCTAATTTAAATAATCGTATTCAAATGGATTGTAATTATCCAGAATACAATTAATCGGAAATTAGGTGATTAACTCTCAACTCCGAGTACGAACTAGTTCCTACGTTCTAATCTAGTAATTACTAAAGCTAAAGACGAATGTGATTTTAAGGAACAGATCAATTTTTAAATTGACACATCTGTCAAGTAATTCATAGGCAAATAAAGGCCGCGATCATCCTTTTGAAGTTATTTGATTATTATACAATAAAAAATTAATGGATTGACATATCGTCTTCTCGCATTAAAACTGTTTAATCTCAAAATTTACTAATTTTACAGGAGAGTGTTTTAAAGGTTTAACATGTGATAATGTTAATATTAATCATCTTTGCAACATTTATTTTTTACTTTTTACCAGTTACATTATCTGTCTTTTAAAGTAAGATAGAATTATGTATTAATTTTGTTAATAGTAGTCATAATATAGGTAATCTAAAAAAAAAACTTTTGACAGTATTTATGAGACAAATACTGGTGATGCCAAATGATTCCGCATATTAACTCAATTTCGAATATTTTTGGAAATTGTACACTTTAAATGCGAAAAGAGATATTACGTAATTTGTCTACGCAGTAGCAATCCATGTCGGTACCTATTATATTCAACACAATGTGTTTATGACATTAGTTAACCCAGCAAAAGTTGTCTGGCCCTGAAAAACAATCCTGAGATCTGTTCACAGCTCCATCTACTGCTTCCAATTGTGGATCTAAGCCACTCTCTAATCAGGGTAAAGCCGGAACAGCCCCTCGAGGCTGGCAGATAAAAAACCATCCAGGAAAAAATCATCACAATCGTTCTATTCGTTTAGGAAAAGTTCGGTAACAAGCGACATGTGCAAAATAGTTCTTTAAACAAGATTATGGAAGTTTTGTTGAATGAAATTTATTTTATTTTTCATACGAGTTTAAATATATTCTCGAAACTTTTTGTTAATTTACCTACATCACATGGTGGTTGGGGATATTATGAATCCGCACGAGTAGGTTCGTGCTTAGCTTCGCAATTACAAACCCTAACCCACCATTAATTACGCAAATGTATAAATTTCATGGATTTGTCTACATCACACGATGACTCTCCTTCGTTCTGAAAGTGGTACGCTAGTAAAAGTACGTATTTCTTTGGAAAAATCGGTACATGCCCGCGAAATTTGAATAGGTATACCGGGTGCCTATAGGTATAGGCCACGACGACTTCGTTTTTTTAAGAGTATTAGTTTAGTCCTTCGGCAACGGTTTCACCATATCCTTATCCGTGTAAACAATATAAAGTAAGTATATAGGTATAAACAATATAAGCTATAAATAAAGTATATAACCTATATTAAGAGTACCTAACAAGATTGAAATTCAGTGAAAATCGAGACAAGTATAATTATTTATTGTATTCATTGTCACACACAATTTCGGTATAGAAAAATGTCTATTTGTGAACAATCTCTATATATAAAAATGAATTGCTGTTCGTTAGTCTCGCTAAAACTCGAGAACGGCTGAACCGATTTGGCAAATTTTGGTCTTGATTTATTTGTGGAGGTCCAGAGAAGGTTTAAAAGGTGATAAATATGAAAATGCTCGGAATTAAAAAAAATAAAACAATTTTGTTTTTCCTTTGATGTGTCCCCCGTCGGTCTTTTATTTATCGATTGAGGCACTACGAAGTCTGCCGGGTCAGCTGGTAATTTAATAAAATATAGAAGTAGAAAATATAATAAAAATAAAAACGGAACACAAAAAAATTAGGTAATCGTGGTTCTGACTTGTTATGTCTGTAGAACTAGAACAGAACTATGTCCTGTAGAACTGAATAGTTTGGCCATTAATCAAAATCGTCAAATTACTTCTAATACTTCCTACCATAAATTCACTTTCGCAGTATCCTATTTATCAATCTCAATCCGTATTTCTCAAAGCCCCTTTTCCCCCTACCTTTTCGCTGGTAGCCAAGCAGCAATTTCAGCTACGCTGTAACTAGTGGGTTGGCTCACAGGGGCTCAACCTGAGCAAATGTGCTAACACTGGCCCTAGCAAGAGCAGTGCTTCGGATCTACCACCGAATCGGAAACGCGCCTCACTGAGAAGATCCGGTTAGAAACTCAGTTAGTAAACCTCATCTGTGAGCTTATTATCAAATGCACGACTCCAGCTTTTGGAATAGCAGAGCGAGCGTACATTTTTTATTATTATTTAATATTCTAATAACTTAGGACGTTAAAGCTGTGTTCATCCCAATATGTAAATTTAGGGAGCCTCTGAAATCAAAAGTGCCAGACTTGGGTAAAAAGAAGTAAACAAGTAATGTAACAAGTTATGGTTTTCAATACATAATTAGTCGAAAATGAATGTTTTCAAAGATTCGATAACGCTCGTGTGCCCCGTTCAATAAGCCTACAAAATATTAAGCATTTTTCGTAAAAAGTCAGCAATAATTGCTGAACGAGGTACAAAAAAAAAGCTTTTAAAAATTATTTTATAACTAATTGTTTTCTTGAAAACTGAAAGTTCTATATTCGATTGAGATGAAGTGTCGCTGCTGCTCATCAGGGAAAGTGGATTTTTTCTTTCCATATTTCTATAGACTTTAGTTTTCAATTTTCCATTATTTCCATAAAGAAGTTATGCCGTTCACACGTGTCGATTATGTTCAAAGTAGCTCTCTACTTCCAATATATTTTTCTTACTTCACTTCATTTCCAGATCACGATTTAAGAGACCAGTTCTCAGGTTTTAAGTTTTCCTTAAATTCATGAGCTCTGTTCTGTAAAAAATAAAAGGCAAAAATACATTATACGTTAACAGTATTTAAATTTGTTAATTTTTAGTACGTACCTAGATTGCGACTAACAAAAACTTTTGAGAGTATTTTAATTATGAACAGAATGGGATTTTAATTACGAACATAACGACACGGGTCGCGGACTTCCACTATCATTTTATATACATATGTTAGTACCGCAGTCAACTGCATACGCTCATGTAAACTCAGTTCCCAACAGTGTTGAGCTCAAGCCTTTTTGTGAACAACATACTGAATTATCCATTCAAAGTATACGCGTGTTGACCACAGCACCCGCTCCGCAAACTTGCTTCTGCGGTTGTTATAATGTATGCAAAGGATTTACATCCTTTTTGCTCAAATTCGGGTTTTTTTGCGATCGTATTCTATTTCGCCGACAAATATTTATATTCATGCGATCGTGTCTGCCTTTCTCTTGCCATTTTACTATCTAAATTAGATATACGGGATGTACAAACATATATTTTTTTCGTTTTTTGAGAATGCAAATGCTCCATTTTTCTTACTCAGAACTTTCTAGTACAATTTATTTCACCACTTATTTATTCAGGAACCAAGTAACAATGTTATAAGGTGTAGAATATTAATTAAGTTTTCAGTTAAATAGAACAAGAGATATTCAGTAAACATTATCCTGATGCGCAGGAAAATATATTATACACAGAAAAGTTGGAATTGTGTGGCTCTTGTCAACTGCTCAGAACTTTACCAGTTTGGCAGTTCGAAATGTACTACCGCCAAACATTTAATTTCGGTGCTAATTAAGAAATCCAACGTAAAATTAGGTTCTCAAATATAAAATTCCGGAAGGAATATTATACACAATTCAACTGGCTACAAAAATCTCCATGAAAATAAATTTACCTTATAATATTTTAACAGTTTGTGATACACCCCATATAATGTTCTGTAGCCATAAACGTTTCTTATGGTATTATTTGATAAAAATTACTTTACTGTATTAATAAAGAATAAAATGATGAGTGTTTTCTTCGTTTTTCGCGAGTCGCAGATATCATTCATCAATTTAACTTTTTTTTTTATTGCTTAGATGGGTGCACGAGCTCACAGCCCACCTGGTTGTTAAGTGCTAACTGGAGGCCATAGACATCTACAACCTTGAGATATAAGTTCTAAGGTCTCAGTATAGTTACAATGGCTACACCACCCTTCAAACCGAAACGCATTACTGCTTCACGGCAGAAATAGACAGGGCGGTGGTACCTACCCGCGCGGACTTACAAGAGGTCCTATCATCAGTAAATTAACTATGAACAGTAATTAATTATGAATCAATTATCCTCCTTCTTGCGTCGACAATCCTCAATGCTGAGGATCGTGGCTTCCCTTAACAACTTACTCCTGGACGCCAGCCCTGCCTGTCCTCGGCCGCGCGAATGGCCTCGTGGACTGAGGTGTTGAGAGTAGAGCGTATCTAATCCGACCACCGCATTGGATTTCTGCTTCTGGGCCTTCTTATGCAATTTAATTATAATGTATCAAAAGGTGTTTTACGTTTACGAAATAAAAGTAAATTTAATAAAATAAAGTTATTGTGATTAATGCTTACATTATGTACATATCTTGTTTAAATATCTTTCCAGTGCCATTTCACCATGCTTATGTCCTTATGGCTTTTGTAATGATTTATAATGATTCAATAGAAAATCTATATACTGCGAAGTCTGAAGTTGAAAATAAAATCACTATGTACATAGTATAAAACAAAGTCGCTTTCTCTGTCCCTATGTATGCTTAAATCTTTAAAACTACGCAACGGATTTTGATGCGGTTTTTTTTAATAGATAGAGTGATTGAAGAGGAAGGTTTATATGTATAATAACATCCATTAAATAGTGGAGAAATCAATAATAAATTACAGTTTCCGAAGCGAAGCGAGGACGGGTCGCTAGTTTTACTATAAAATAAAAACTATACTTGTCATTTTGACCGCCGCATTTTCTCTAACAATCGAAACAAACTATGTACTTGTTGATGTTCAGTTGTAATATTCGGTGTGACCCTTTTCAAGGGACCCTTGTCTTACATTCACATTACGTATATTTTGTAGCCAACTGACACAAAAATAATACAATAAATAATATGAATTGTGATCACACCCGCGAAATGTTGCAGAACATAAGCGCTATATCGTATACGTTTATTAACTATTTGTAGGGCTTTCGGGTGCCATAGGATCCGTGGAATGGCATTACCGTTGGACTCAGTGAGGCATAAGGGTGAATTGTGCTTCGCTTTCCGAATTGATATATAGTTTATGTGTGTGCCATTGTAATTGATAGCTGCGAGAAACAGATTGTATTCATGCGGACATTGCGGTAATTTTCCAACCCTTTGCAAGGTTGGAAGGTAAAGCCAAATTGGCCTCTAAAATGTTGGAAGTCCTCAACAGAGCGAAGCGGTATTTCACGCCTGGACAGAGACTTGCGCTTTACAAAGCGCAGGTCCGACCTCGCGTGGAGTACTGCTCTCACCTCTGGGCCGGGGCTCCCAAATACCAGCTACTTCCATTTGACTCCACACAGAAGCGGGCTGTTCGGATGGTCGATAGTCCTGCTCTCGCAGATCGCTTGGAACCTCTGGGTCTACGGAGGGACTTCGGTTCCCTCTGTGTTTTATACCGCATGGTCCATGGGCGAATGCTCTGAGGAATTATTGGAGATGATCCCCTCATCTCCTTTTTATCATCGCACCTCCCGCCATCGGAGCAGGGTTCATCCATATTATCTATAACCGCTGCGTTCAACGACAGTGCGTTTCCAAAGATCTTTTTTGCCACGTACCATCCGGCTTTGAAATGAACTCCCCTCCACGGTGTTTTCCGAGCGCTATGATATGTCCTTCTTCAAACGAGGCTTGCGGAGAGTACTTTATGGTAGGCAGCGGCTTGGCTCTGCCCCTGGCATTGCTGACGTCCATGAGCGACGGTGACCACTTACCATCAGGTGGGCCGTAAGCTCGTCTGTCTACAAAGGCAATAAAAAAAAATAAAAAAAGCAATGGGATATAATGTTATGTTTAGCGTCAGTTTTCATTATTTTAGATTTTAAATATATTTAACAAACCAGTAAACGGAACCTCCGACAGTAATTGACCTCCGTTGCTTATGGACATTGATAATGCCAAAAGGCTGTCAGTGCATTGTCTTCACATTTTAAAATATTCCACCATGGATTCGGGGAACCTTTCGTCTTTTACTAATAAATTAATAAACAAATATGAATAATGCTTTAATGAAATGTGCTAACATTCTTAATTTCAAATAAAATTCTTTAGTAATGACTGAATTTCTTAGTTTGGCTTTGGCTCAGACCTTGAACGAATTTATAATTGTCAAAACGCAAAGTGGCTTTAAATGATTAAGTATCTAAAACACGGTAGGGTGCATTATACACGAACTTAACTGCTGTGAAACACACAATTCCGTTAATAAATAAGAAAATCAACAAAGATATTTACACGCTCCAAAGTGTAACGCAGGACTTTGCGGAATGTGGAACCAGGGAATGTGGAAGTACCTTCCTCTTTAAATTTTAAATTCCATTATGAGAAAGGTCTAACACAAATACGCAAGGTTTTGTTAAACCTATCTTAACGTCTAAGTGAAAACACACAAAGAGAATTAAACCACCGTGCCATAGTGATGTCTGGTTTTCTGAACGTCATATGGGCCAATCAAAGAAGCGTCAAAAATCAAAATCATCAATGACTGCATTCCTTTATACCAGGGATTTTGATTTGAGATGTATGTATTTTCTTGGGTTTTTGCGAGTTGCGGACCCAACTAAAACTTCTTCTGCGGTTTAATCTCGTACTTTAGTGTCATTATATTATTTTAGACATTTCTATTACTACAGTTTTCGTGGTTCACGGACGACGACCGACAGTCGTCGAAAATATGACAACATAAAATGCGAGATTAAGCCGTAATAGTACTTATAATCGTAGTTTTGAATAAACATTATTTTTGTTTTATCAGTTTGTACTGCCTTTTAAGATTATGAATTCTTAGCAATTCAGGTTTCTAATTTCGTATTCAAGTCTTTTGAGAATTATTCAAAATTCATTTATGTTGTAGTAACATAAAAATTGTTTAATAAAACAGGTGGTACCGAGACGGTTCAATCTATCCGATGGAGGCGATGATGACGCATGCGAAGACCAGAGCCGAGGCAACAGTTGCGACCCTCACCCTCAACACTACAAAGGAAGATGATGGCGCTATTTTCCGCTGCGTGATCTGGAATCGTGCTATGCCCGAGGGAGAACAGCTGGATGCCAGCGTCGAGCTCAGTGTCAATTGTAAGTTAACGTTTACATTTCAGTTGTTTTTAAAGCGACAATTTTATTTACCGCGCTTCGAATATGTATTTCACTTTTTTTTTAGTATCCTACCTATGATGATGCCTTAAGAGCCTATTTCAGCTTCGCCCTAGCATGTAGGTGAGCTCACGGGGCTCAAACCGGAGTGATACTAACACTGACCCTAGCAAGGGTAGTGCTCAGTTGGCTGTGTCTGTGGGGAATAAATTCACAGTTATCGTTTATCAAATTGTGAAATACCCGTCACCGTCCTCGTCGAACCCGTCGCTTGCGACGAAGGGCTCGACGAGCGAATTAACCCATCAAGGCTATCAGCATAGTAGGATTAAAAAAAAGTGAATTTATTTGTTAATGTCAATATTACATCCATATAAACCTTAAAATCTTGCCTCGAAAATGTTATAAAATACGTTTTATTTATCATTTGGTGTTTATCGAAATATAATAGATAACATGTAGCTTGTATCTAACAAATATTTCAATTTGAAAGGAAACTACTGCCATGTATGTAATGGTGAATTTTTGCCCGAAGCACTTTTTCTCATATCCAATAGTCACATATCGGATGTGACAGATACATCCATGAGTAAAATGTACACCGTAAGAATAGATAGACGGTTCCTGCGATTCGGATTTCTCTTAAAAATATTTTATTATAACCGCGCCTATACAAAAATAACTTCTTCGGACTGCTTGCGGTTTATAGGCTATCTGTAATAAATTTTACGGTTTTGTTTTTGTTTGCCAATAGCAATCGTATTCTGTTTATGCAATAAATACTGGCCACGAAACTTTCGTCTGACTTTTTTTTTGCTTTTTGTCTGTAATCTCGAGGGTCTATGGTTGCTTCAGCGGACGTGTAGCTCACGGGGTGCAGCCTGGAGATTTTACTAGCACTAGCCCTATCAAGAACAGTGCTACGTTGAATCTACCACCGGTCCGGAATCGCTGGCTCTGCTTAATGATTAGGAGGCATTCAGGGTGCTTAGTGCGAGCTTTTGAATGTTCTCGATAGCGTAAAAGTTCACTCAGATTTGTATGGAGTTGGAACGTTTGCCTACGTTTGCCGCTAAGGGCGCTGTTCCAACTGCATACAAATTTTAGTTAACTTTCACGCTAACGAGCACGTTAAAAAGTCACACTCCACACACAAAATGAATTAAAACAACGTACGTACTCAACAAATGTTCACGATTGACTTCCACGGTGAAGGAATAACACCGTGCAATAAAAATCAAACCCGCAAAATTATAATTTGCGTAATTACTGGTGGTAGGACCTCTTGTGAGTCCGCACGGGTAGGTACCACCGCCCCGCCTATTTCTGCCGTGAAGCAGTAATGCGTTTCGGTTTGAAGGGTGGGGGGCAGCCGTTGTGACTATACTGAGACCTTAGAACTATATCTCAAGGTGTGTGGCGCATTTACGTTGTAGATGTCTATGGGCTCCAGTAACCACTTAACACCAGGTGGGCTGTGAGCTCGTCCACACATCTAAGCAATAAAAAAAATAAAAAAAAACGAAACATAACCAATAAAATAATTCTTTGGTATTTTTTATATAGAGTTTATTCATTTCATTCATTCGTGTTTAGTGTTAATTTACCGTGAATGCCGCCGTTCAACTTCTGTTATGGAGCCAAAGTCTCAATTGTATTTTATTAGCGACTGTCCAATCATTTAGTCGGTTGAGTTTTTATGATACGATCATAGGCTTGACTGTGAAAGTCGGTTGTGAGCACGTGCTCTCTCCAAATACAAGTTGCAGATTTTTTTAAAAATCGTTTCCGTATAAGCGCGTCACTAGATACGAGTAGGTACACATTTTACAACGGAAGTATAGACGTAGATAAAACATAGCAACACTTACTTTCGTTGTTTTATGCAAGCACACGGTTTAGAGATCAATCTTGTGTTTACCGATTCCCCACTATAATGGAACAGTGCATTCTCGGCTTAAGACTTTATTTATCTATCATTTAATTTAAAAGATCATAGCGTCCAAACGTCTATACTATGCGTCATCTGTTGGAATTAATTTTAAAAATAATTTAAAACAAGTCAATTCTACTTCGGTACGGGTTTTTTTTTATTGCTTATGTGGTTGGGTGAGCTCACAGTCCACCTGGTGTTAAGTGGTTACTGGAGCCCATAAACATCTACAACGTAAATTCACCTTGAGATATAAGTTCTAAGGTCTCAAGTATGGTTACAACGGCTGCCCCACCCTTCAAACCGAACGCATTACTGCTTCACGGCAGAAATAGGCAGGGTGGTGGTGCCTACCCGCGCTGACTCACAAGAGGTCCTACCACCATCAAGATAAAAAAAAATATTACTTTAATAAAGAATATGGTTGGTACTTGGTTCCTGTAACCCTCTTGTTGTGAAGTTGAAACTAATTGAATCAAACTACTAGAATATCAATAATTAATTTAATTAAGAATTAAATTGTTAGCACTGTATTTAAATATCAACGAATACTATCTTGATCGTCTGTAACTTCGAAAACTGCAAAACATTCGTAAACTCAGAAACAACACTTATTAGAAACTAGATGACCCGGCAGATTTCGTAGTGCCTCAATTGATAAATAAAAGACCCAAACTTTTGTATAAAACAAACTTAAAACAAACAAAAGGAATCCGTTCGACGCGGGACACATCAAAGGAAAAACAAAATTGCTATTTTTATTTAATTCCGAGCATTTTCATGTATAGATAATTCAAGACCAAAATTAGCCAAATCGATTCAGCCGTTCTCCAGTTTTAGCGATACTAACAAACAACAATTCATTTTTATATAATATATATAGATAGAATAGATAATCAGGAATAATAATAATACATTAAAAACTGTGTAAGTAGTTTTTATAGATTTTTTCATTAAACGCAATGTAACACAAATAAAAGATCACCTCTTACGCGGTATCCTATGATTGTAAGGAACGGGAATAGCGTACACCAGCCGCCTTTGCTTTAGATCGCGGTTTCACAAAATATTATTGACTTACAAAAACATCAAAAAGTTTTAGTTGGCTTAATAGATGAATATTGTTTTCCGTTGCCGTCGGGGCAGTTGTTTATTGCTGTTTAGGCAACGAAAATGGTCCCCGAATACTGTGTATATACCGGATATTTAAAATAATGCAAATGAAGAAAAGTTGCCTACAGTATTATGCGGGTAATTTGAGTAAAACGAAGACACACAAAACTTTGCATACATCCTTTCATTCGTCGGTACTTGAGTTGCTTACAAAAGTATTTTACTGTTTTTATATTATTTACTTATAAATTAGGATGTTTAATTTCAAAGTTTCAATGCTTCAGTATTTTTGTTCAAAGTGTAAATAGTAATACTGTAATTTAAGCAACATGCTTTTAATTAAAATATGAAACTAAGCATTAATAGTACTTTCCAAGAACCTACTGGTCCTTCCAAAAGATTCCTATCATCGTGAAAAAGAGCAACCTATTGGTTCTGGTCTAAGGGGGCATTCCAGAGACGGCTGACATTCTAGAGCTTTCGTTCTTCGCCTCTAAGGCTCTGTCGGGCGTCCTTTGGAATACGAACATTGGAGCACCCAAAATTATAACATCAACTTTACTACGAAAATATATACACATGTACTAAAACGAATATATATATATATATTTAATTGAATAATAAATTTGAAATCTTCTTGTTTTTTAAATTACTTGTAAATTTGTTTCCATAATAAGAAAAGTAAAAAATATAATATTGTTCCAAATGAATCAAAATTATCCGAACAATCCAGATTACGACTATAACTTTCGTTAAGTATCAACATTAGTCGCAACAAGACGACCTTTGAAACGACCACAATCCCTAATAACAATACATCCTTTGATCCTTTAATTTACCTTCATCTGAATGTATCTACTAATAAACACGGTCTAAGAGAACAGATACCGAAATGAAATCGATCAATAAAAGTAAAACAGTATTTATTCACCAAAGGAAGTTATGGTTTTCAAAACTTCACTCGAACTCAAAGCACAATGAAATATTTTTGAAGTTATACTTCTTTAGTCGCGTTATGAAAAATTGATGAGATCGAAATTTTACGATGCGCGCGCACCGTGACACAAAATTAACAGAAATGAAGTTGCCCACTAAATCGCTCATTACAATACGACTGACGTAACTTGGCGAGTCTGAATATAGCCGCAGGTGAACTTTCGCGCATGTACACTCGTAAAAAACAGTGTTATTAGCATTTATTTTTTAGTAATATAAATGACAAAATTATTATTTAATATAATTCATACTAAATATTATTCATTAACGTTATTAAATTATTAACGTTAAATATTCATTATTAATTATTTAATATAAAAATAAAAAATAAAAAAGTATAACTTCTTACGCGCGTACATAAGTACACGCACCCTTTTTTTTTAAAATAAAGTGGAGCGCAATGAAACCGCACTTCATTTTTAATTTCGAACCTTTTAATGCCATAAGACTATAACCGGTCTCTTGTAGATGACGCACGCAGCCGTAAACCAAATTCTTACGGTATCTACCGCAAACGAATCAAATAGTATAGTATAATTTTTTTGACAGACGTAATAAAATTCCAGTGCATTAAAAATAGTCACAAGGTGAACGGCGCCATTCATTGTTTGGTTATGTAACAGCTTAACATTACTTGATCAATAAGACTGCACATAGAAGCTAATATAGAATCTTTGGCCGAACAGTTTCACGATAAAAACGTCTTATCGGTTTAGTCTCGTGTATTTTATTGTCATTTTACTATTTTTGATGTTTCGAAAACTCCACAGTTTTCTTAGTCGCGGACGACTAAGATGTTTGCTATTTCGTTGACATTTGAATATTCTGCTACCTACCGTCTATTTTTAAATAAAACATGTTTCTAGACTTTAACCTTTTAACATCAGGTCTGGTTGTTTGTTTGACTTTAATTATGTCTAAAATTTGCGAAGATCGATCAAAATATGCAAATTTTCAATTTCATCAGAACCAAAAGGGCATATTAGTGTATTTTGTTCAACGATTAACACCTAGGATCCATTTGAAAGACCTATCCAGTTACTTAATTTAGTGAATTCAACAATAACCAACATTTTACTGACTAGCATTATGATTATAATTGCGTAGCATTATGATAATTACGATTTTATGCTGTTGTGTTTTTTGCGAATTCATCAAAATATCAATTTGGTCCCATTCAAATCTCTTTTAACTGCAGCGTAGACAAATAGGACTGTCGCGCTCTTTAAAGGAATACATACAAATTTTGACAGAATTCAGTAAAATCAATATCATAATTAAAACTACTTTTACGGCTTAATATCGCTTTCTTTATTGTCATTATATTATTTGCGATATTTCGAATACTGTACAGTTTTCGTGGCACGGACGACTGACCGAGGACCGATCTTAGTTTTGATTACATCACACAAACCGAATAAAATACTATTAGAAAAGAAACATCAAACTGTTACCACACACCTAATCTATCACATACATAGGTACAATATGTATTAATAGTGTAATATTACATTTTTTTAAACTACTAGAGATAATATTCAAAACTCGAGTTGCATATTAAAAATTGCACGCTCTAAATATTATCACGTTAAAAGGCCAAGGATTTTTATTAATTCAACTATTACGAAAATATCTTTTTACGACTCAAAAATATCACGTTTATTTGACTTAATTATTTGGATCTTTTGAGTGTAGTTAAGTTGTCTAAGTTATAGACCGCAATTGTTGCATGCTTGTAATTATTATACTTGTACAATTTGCTAGTAATTGGTGTTGTTTGCTGATATCGATTTCAAATAACTTTAAAAAGATCCATCCTCGCACAAAGAGTTGAAATATTGAAATAAAAAAGGCAAATGCTTTGAAAATAGCTCCTTAGGCTATTAGCAAATAGGCAGAGAAAAAAAAGTTTAATAATATTATCTGTATAGTCTGCATTTTTTAAGTGCTAAGCAACAAAATTACGAAACATTCGCTGACCTTTTGAAAGAAACCCGAAATATAAAGATTCGGCACATTGAATGTGGCGAAAGGAAGTGGAAATGGGGAATCTTTGTTGGCAAAAACTTCCATCCGACACGTAAACGCAGACATTTAAGACAGTAAGCTCTTAGCGTTTCTCTAGGCCTTCAAGGAAAAGCAAAGGCACTCGGTAAATAGCTTCAATGAACGAGACGCGGAAGTTTTCACTCACTGAATCCCTTGGCTTGTAGTCCTGGGCGGCTTGTTTGCAAACTTTAAGTACCTACCTCGACTGAACAAATAGCGTTGTGTGTTTTATCGTGACGTCATTAGTTTTCGTGACATACAAAATGATTTTCAAACAAAGCTAATTTCAGTGTAGAAAGGATAAAATTTTGAAATTTTTAACTGTTGGTAGGACGTATTGTGAGTCCGCACGGGTAGGTACCACCGCCCTGCCTATTTCTGCCGTGAAGCAGAAATGCGTTTCGGTTTGAAGGGCGGGGCAGCCCCTTGTACTGTAAAAACTGAGACCTTAGACATTATGTCTCAAGGTAGGTGGTGGCATTTACTTTGTAGATGTCTAACCACTTAACATCAGGTGGAGCGTGAGCTCGTCCACCCACCAAAGCAATAAATAAAAAAATTAAGATAGGTGACGCGCTTGATAATGTTCACCGGCGAATGAATAGCTCCGAAGATCTTATTTTTAATGTATAATAATTTTTCAGTAATCCACCGTATTTTTCTTGATATTCCTTCTTAATCCTTACTTAGGGGACCTCTCAATGTAGCTTTAATTTGGTCGGTCCGCCGCATTGGTGACCTCCCGGGCGGTCTTGTACCATTCACACCTTCCTGTACAAGAAGGTGTTCCACTCGCCGAATCTTCTCAGTTGATCGCGATTCCGATCCGGTGGTAGATTCTGTGAAGGACTGCTCTTGCTATGGCTGCTGTTAGCAAATTCTCTCAGGTTGAGCCCGTGCGCACCTACCCGTCTGGTCGTAACTAGAATAGCCACTTAGGCTACCAGTAAATCATCATCATATTCGGTTACTCTTGGCAGAGCAATCGTGGTCATATGGAATCGTTGTTTATTAAAGCCTTGACAGCTGTTCTCCATAGTTCGCGAACCGAGACTTGGCGCACGCACCCGTTCATTGGGGTTTTGGAAAGGATTTTCACCGGATCAGTCCAGCGCTTGGGGCTTCGTTCACGAGATCTTTTACCATTGACCCTACCTACATTGAAGTCGTTGTGGCCTAAAGGATAAGACGTCCGGTGCATTCGTACGTAGCGATGCACCGGTGTTCGAATCTCGCAGGCGGGTACCAATTTTTCTAATGAAATACGTACTCAACAAATGTTCACGATTGACTTCCACAGTGAAGGAATAACATCGTGTAATAAAAGTCAAACCCGCGAATTTATAATTTGCGTAATCACTGGTGGTAGGACCTCTTGGAAGTCCGCACGGGTAGGTGCCACCACCCCGCCTATTTCCGCCGTGAAACAGTAATGCGTTTCGGTTCGAAGGGTGGGGTAGCCGTTGTAACTATACTGAGATCTTAGAACTTATATCTCTAGGCGGGTGGCGCATTTACGTTGTAGATGTCTATGGGCTCCAGTAACCACTTAACACCAGGTGGGCTGTGAGCTCGTCCATCCAACTAAGCAATAAAAAAAAACCCTGGACAACAAGTTTTACCAGCGAATAACTAAGGAAAAAAAATGGACTGGCCGATATTAGTATCTATATGATTTAATATCTAAAGTTTGCGGCGATTACGCCCAATTTAAAATTCAAATTAATTTTTCTTTTCTGTCACTTAATAGCTTACCTGTCCTTACTTCTTTTTCGTCAAAAGCTCACATTTGTGCAATATTTTCGATATTATTTTTGATAATCGATAAACAGCTTTTAAAATATCTTAACAATTAAATGTGTATTTTAGTCAGAGGATTCAAAATAGAATTCGATGGCTAAGTTTTAAGAGTAAGAAACAAAACAATGAGACGCGACATGTGAACTTTGGCTAAATTGAATCTGTGAAATCTAGCCGTCCTGTGGTCTGATTTTGTTCAGTCTCTAATAGGTTTCGGGGACGAAAATAGTTTCTGTTAATTACGTGGCTTAAATTTTTTCCCATTTATACACACTAAAATGGATACTTAATTATGATTGAACTAAAATACGCCAACCAAACATGTATTTCATTTGAATTTCAATCGCACAAAACTAATTTATCTTAATATTTCGGCTCTGTGTTTTCATTCGTAAATTTTTCATGAGCTAAGAATAGTTGCAGTTATTATTGTTTTGATCCAATCACCTTTCACTGTTGGTGCGTCACTATTCGAACTGTGTATTCCTATGTAATTTATGAACTTACTATTCACCGATATTAAATGTAGCAGACGCTGTTTCACAACGATGAGTGGAAACGAAAGCTCACGTACAATTCGTGTTGATTCGAAATTGCGTATAATGCTGACGAAACGCCTTCCGATTCAGGAACGACTTCAAAGAACGCTACCAAAGTTTGTTATGAGCTGACCCGAATAACGGATTATGTTTATTCAGACGTGAAACAGGAACTGCACGCGATTGCACGTGTCTTAATTCTAAAAAGCGCAATGTAAACAAATTTATTAGCTTTACGGTTCGAACGCGGCCCAGACATCCGCTTCCTACAGCCAGCGACGCCTGCACAGTTGCGCGTCCAATCAAATAAACAGAATCGATGAGTGGATTAATAACATTTGCGAGCAATCGTTTTACATCTGCAACGGTTGTTCTGCGTGTATACATTTTTAATACGCTTTTATTATTAGCTTCAGACGTATGTATGTTAGTATGTAACGGAATCTTTGAACATGATTTTGACCCCCTCCAAAACGTCGGATTAACTCGAAATTTGGTATACTTATTAAGGACCGATGACAATTCAATAATAAATTCTCTGAAAACTGAATGATAAACTGAGTGAAAATAATTTTCTACAATAAAATCATTTTTTCTTACACTATTTTTAATTCAAATTTATTAAATTTTATTTTCAATTTTTTTGTTGTATTTTCTATAAAAGCGTATTTTGTTAGTTTTTTTAAACAATTATTTATTATTATTGTTTTTATCCTTCCTTAAAGTAACATTTGTTTTTCTTTCGTCTTAGATTTCCCACGGATCGAAGTAGGACCCGAAAACCCTTTGCGAATCGAAATTGATGGCACGGCCACGATGGAATGTAAAGTCGATGCCAAACCGAAAGTCAGCTCTGTACGATGGACCAGAAACGGAAAATATATATCGAACTCTTTCACTCACACGATCCAGGGAGTCACAGTACAAGACGCGGGCAAGTACGCTTGTACCGCGGACAATGGTCTGGGCCGACCCGGGGAGAAAGAAATGTATCTAGACGTATTATTCCCACCGAGTGTCAAAGTGGAATCTAAAACATACGAAGCCGAAGAAGGCGGTAACGTGCATATACGATGCGATGTCTCAGCCAATCCTGAACCCATCTCCGTGGAATGGATAATGGAAGGGAAACCTGATTTCCACCAAAAAGGCAACAATCTAACGTTGACGGGTGTAAACGCGAACATGGCTGGGACTTATTTGTGTCGGGCGGTTAACGTTATATCGTCAACGAACGGAAAGCGTGCTGAACGGTCAAACAGCGCTTCGGTCGCGGTTCTTGTACGGCATAAACCCGGGCGCGCTTACATCAGTCCGGACAAGCCCATTGCACAGGAGGGGACCGGGGTTACGTTGACGTGCAGCGCGAACCCTCCCGGCTGGCCCGCCCCGCAGTACAGATGGTTCCGCGACATAGAAAATTCTGACACGAAGCCCGCTGTTCTCGCCACCGGCAACAAGTACACCATTCCGAGCGCACATCTGGGCAGCGAAGGCGTTTATCACTGTCAGGCCACTAATGAACTCGGCCACGGCGAACTAGCTTCGGTTACTCTAGAAGTCCATCAGCCTCCGCGCTTCCAAATGAAACTTCAACCTCACACGACGAAACGGGCCGGCGAACAGGACTACGCGGTGAGCTGCAGCGTGCTGGGCAAACCACGGCCCACCGTCAGATGGTACAAAGATAATTCGGAGATCAAGCCTGATGCTAATCTGTATGAAGTCAAGAGTGATATCGCCGAAACCAGCAACGAAGTGTACAACGTACAGAGCACGCTAAAGTTCAGGGGGAAAGCAAGACCGAACACTAATGATTTATTACCAGAAGACAGGGGTATCTACTCTTGTAACTTCGAAAATGAAGTAAAAAAAGTCGAATCCACAATGCATCTTCGAATAGAACGTAAGTTATTTTTTCTTTTTAATCCAAATGTTAATTGTATTTTCTGTTTAATAATTAAGACTGATATTACTTTAGAAGGATTCTCAGAAAGGTAGTAAATGAAGAAAATATATTTTATGTTTGCTTATTCATGAAGGATTGAGGAAGACGGCGAAACTTACCGAAAGCGGAAACATTAAAAGTTTTATATTCATAACTTTTCAATATTCGTTGAATGCACCCGTTAAATTTTAATACAACCATTACGTAAACCCACTTACAGAAACAAGCTATGTTAAGACATAATTACCGGTGCGACAGAATTAAGTGCGTACGAATGGAGTTTACCTTCATTTTAATTAATTAGGCCGTGTGAAATTTGAACTTTTGCATACTTTTTATTGTGCACTAGTTGACCCGGCAGACTTCGTAGTGCCTCAATCGATAAATAAAAGACAAAAGGAATCCGTCCGATGGGGGACACATCAAAGGAAAAACAAAATTCTTATTTTTATTTAATTCCGAGCATTTTCATTCATTTATTTACCTTTTAAACCTTCTCTGGACTTCCACAAATAATTCAAGACCAAAATTAGCCAAATCGGTCCAGCCGTTCTCGAGTTTTAGCGAGACTAACGAACAGCAATTCATTTTTATATATAGAGATGTGAAATTTTCAGTTTTTGTGTTTTTTTTGTCACTGCAGACGAACCGATATTGATTCGACAACATAAAAAAGTAGCTTACGACATCGACGAAACAGCCGAAATAGTGTGCCGAGTGCAGGCGTACCCCAAACCGGAGTTCCAATGGTTCTACGGCACGAACACCGCGCCGCTTCAGATGTCCTCCGACGGACACTACGAGATCAACACGACGACAGACAGCAACGACTCGTACTTCAGCATGCTACGAATAAAGAAAGTGAAGCCTCAGGACTACGGCGACTACTACTGCAAAGTGAAGAACTCGCTCGGCCATATACGACCTCAGATACGACTGCAGCCGAAGGGCGCTCCGGAGTCGCCGTCCGCGCTCGAGAGCCAGAAGGTCGGACCGACGTATGTGACGCTCAAATGGGAGGCAGGCTTCGACGGAGGACTGTCGAATACGAAGTACTTCGTGCTGTACCGGCGGGCGTCGCTGCGAGGGGTGGGGGGCGCCGGCAGCGAGCACTGCACCGTGGAGCGNATACGACCTCAGATACGACTGCAGCCGAAGGGCGCTCCGGAGTCGCCGTCCGCGCTCGAGAGCCAGAAGGTCGGACCGACGTATGTGACGCTCAAATGGGAGGCAGGCTTCGACGGAGGACTGTCGAATACGAAGTACTTCGTGCTGTACCGGCGGGCGTCGCTGCGAGGGGTGGGGGGCGCCGGCAGCGAGCACTGCACCGTGGAGCGGTCCACGGACCGCGACTGGATGGAGTACGACTGCGGACGCGCCAACCCTTGCAACGTGACGCGCCTCGACCAACACAACGCCTACTCGTTCAAGGTAAACACTTCACACTGATTCATACGGCACACCAAATCGACGGGTCTTACGTTTCTTAATGCAAATATAATAATATACAACAACGGTTAAAAGATTAGATATATAACAATAGTATTAACGAAAATAGCATCATTTACGTTTATATAGCCTGATTACTGTGACTTAAGTTAGACCTTAGAACTCATATCTCAAGGTAGGTGGCGGCATTTGCGTTGTAGACGTCTATGGGCTCCGGTGACAACTTCACATCAGGTGGGCCGTGAGCTCGTCTACACACTTATACAATAAAAATAAATAAAAAACGAATAAAGTGCTAGCTAGTAGCTACTCTATGAATGTAGTATGAATCTATAATGTAATCGTAGGTACATGTACAACACTTCACTTATATTGATGTAATCACATTATTATACGTGAAGCGTTAGTTTTGGTCCAAGATTGTCAATTGCCAATCACGGTCTGCGTCACACGTAGGACCCGTTGTTAGAATTTCAGTGGACCTGTAAATATATTACTACTAATTGTTTACTTTTGTACATACTATGTTTGAGTCTCCGATGGTCGTACATGTTCACTCAGTTTTATAAATCGATTAATTACCTATTTATTTTATAAAAAACTGTGACAAAATATTAATTCATTTATTTATTTTTTTCATTTTATCGCTACCGACAGCATCTGACATTTGTTTTCAAGGTAATACAATAAACCCATACGGATTCGTTTACAGATTATTTATCGTTTATATGTTCGATATATTTTATTTTTTGTGTCGTCACACACACACCACTTTTATATTATTTCGACACGCTTCTAAATATATTTGTGTGATTTGCTTGTGTTAAATCGGATATGTTTCGATTACTGACGCGTCACCGTTGACTCCAGGTGAAGGCGGTGAACACGAAAGGTCACAGTGAGTATTCGAATGAGCTCACTGTGACGACTAAAGTGGATAAGATCGCCCCCCCGGAACAAGTGACGTACGATCCGAGCTCGCGGATGATCGTGTTCACGGTGGTACCGACCTGCCTCACTGTCGTAGGAGTCGTGGAAGGACTGGGCAACATGGGAGGAGCTACTGGCTGGCAGGTTAGTGCATGCTTGGCTCGTATGGGGGCAGAGGGAACGTCCTCTCACTAGTAGTATTAAAAATATTAATATGTCACAATATTAGTCCGGTTGTAAGCATGATGAATGAACTTATGTACTGCCTCTCAACTCCAATGGAAAATATTCATTTTAAATTTCAAGACTTTTTTTGACGTTCTCGATAGCGTAAAAGTTAGCTCATATTTGTATGGAATGGGATCGTTTGCGTACGTTTGCCGCTAGAGACGCTGTTCCAACTGCATACAAAATTGGCATAACTTTTACGCTATCGAGAACGTTAAGAAACTCGCACTATGCACACAGAACTATTCGAACTACCAACTCTGACGTCACGCGAGAAGAGAAGTAAATGTGTCACAAGCAACGCTTGAGCCGATCGTGCCTCTCTATGCGTTATAGGACTTTTATAGGACTGTAAATCGATGAACACCGGCTGCACGCATGAAAAAGTGTCACGTTCCGCCTGAGCGTGCAAGCGAGAGCGCGCAACAAGCGATAGAGATGCGCCATCAGCCCAAGCGTTGACTTGTGACACATTTATCTTTCTTCTCGCGTTGCGTTAGAGCTAGCAGTTCGAATAGTTCTGCTGCTGACGTTATCGTGTAAAACTATCGTCCGTAAGCCGCCTTTACAGATAACTAATTCATTTTTTATTAAGTTTTTTGTCCGTCATGTTACTTTTAAGGTAGATCACATGCGACGAACAAACTAGTTGTTTGTTCCGATAAGCATTTCATAATACGCATCGAATGTTTCAAAATATTAATATCTAAACCAAAGTTACAAAGTAATTGAACCGGAACGCCTAATATCCTTTCTTAAGTGTTTATTAAGAGTCACGAGTTTCTAAAGTGTAAGTTTTTACAACCAGCCGGCCTGACGCTAAGTTATTTTGTTTATAGTATTACCAAAAGGGATTTTAAAGTCAGCAGAAATTTAAAGTATCAATTTTCTATAAAAATACAAATGACTAAATAATAACACGAAACCTAACTCGGTATTTTTTAAGTCTTATTAAAATTTGTTATGTTTAAAAGGAAATCTGTATTAACATTACTTATGTTCATACTGTTAAAGTGTATATTTTATTTTAAATTTCAACTACTATTACGCATCAATAAATTTGGAATAGCCCCAGAAAATGTGCCCAAAATATATTTCTTAAAAGAAAAACAGTATTCGTATTTAAAAAAGAAACTTATATATTATGTATTAGAAAAATTAATGTGTATTTTGAGTCGTCGTGGCCTAAAGGATAAGACGTCCGGCGCATTCGTATTTAGCGATGCACCGGTGCTCGAATCCCGTTGGCGAGTACCAATTTTTCTAATGAAATACGTACTTGACTAATGTTCACGATTGACTTCCACGGTGAAGAAAAAAAATCGTGTAATAAAAATCAAAGCCGCAAAATTATAATTTGCGTAATTACTGGTGGAAGGACATCTTGTGAATCCGTAGGTAGGTACCACCGCCCTGCCTATTTCTGCCGTGAAGCAGTAATGCGTTTCGGTTTGAAGGGTGGGGCAGCCGTTGTAACTATACTGACACCTTAAACTTATATCTAAAGGTGGGCGGCGAATTTACGTTGTAGATGTCTATGGGCTCCGGTAACCACTCAACACCAGGTGGGCCGTGAGCTCATCCACCGACCCAAGCAATAAAATAATAATAATATTAAAACAGATGTGTGAACAATCAACTTAGTGTCTAGCTGTTCGAAGCTACCGTTTACCGGCTCTAACGTTCGCTGTCATATTCACATACATAATATGTCTATTCGGCACTTAATAACTATGAATAGCACATATAAATGTCGAACCCAACAAGCATTCGAACACGCTTTTAAATATTTGTATTCATTTCGGAATCAATTCAGTGAGGTGTATTTATATAACATATCGATCGCGAGTTCTTTTATCGACAGGCCGGCGTTCTGCCGTGAAATGCAATGGATGTTGTGTTAAGCTTGTTTATGTTAGACGGAATAAAAACATCTGCTAAGTGGTTAATCTTATTAGCATGTAAACGTTTATAGAAGATTGGCCACATGCAAAGTGTAATTGGGACTGCTTCCGAAGCGAATGCAAGTTGGATTCAACCTTCGTGTTTTACCAAAATTAAGATCGTAAAAATATATCTTTTACTACTTTTTGCATCACTCAATGTTATGACTAACAAACATTAGCTGACACGCGGGTCGATTAGTTAGCTTAATAGAAAAGGATTCTTCACTTCTCTATGTTTTACATCCGGGCGATAGGTGATTTTAATCGACTAAACTCCAACAAGCTGCCGAAGATACACAGGGTGCTGCAAAGAAAACCAAGCGAAATGCTCCTCAGCAAAAAAAATTATATCAAAAACTAGACTTCAATCTACATATGATTAATTTGATAAAAAGCATATTAACCTTATTTTTTATTAATAAATAACAAATCAAAATAATTTAACATAAATCAATTCACGCAGTAGAACAAATCTTCCAATGCGCTTGAAGGAGGCACAGTCCACAAGATACTGGCTACGTTACTTCATTGGACAGCTAGACTCACTCTCTGTGCAAAGTACCAGCCAGCCTTAGCATCACGAGTAACCGCCTTCAAGCGTTTGGAGATTTCTGATAAAAAATTCTTTGCTTCACGGCACCAAGGGCCCATCAGCACAAAGGCAAACCTTATTAATATTAATATATTATAATAATTTATAGTAAAAACTAGCGACCCGCCCTCGCTTCGCTTCGGAAACTGTAATTTATTATTGATTTCGCCACTATTTAATGGATGTTATTATACATATAAGCCTTCCTCTTCAATCACTCTATCTATTAAAAAAAACGAATCAAAATCTGTTGCGCAGTTTTAAATATTTAAGCATACATAGGGATATAGGGACAGAGAAAGCGACTTTGTTTTATACTACGAGTATATGGTGATAATGTTCGAACGATAAGTAATGCGATCAAACTGACAAACGTGCAAGTTTTCTTTTGTAACTTAGATTTGAATCATGCTCCTTGTATTTCCGTGTAGGTGGTTGAGACAATACCGCTGCGGCTATCAGGGTCAACAGCGATCGTGCAGGAGTCCACCTTAGAATTGCCCAGCAAGTCCAGTCGAGTTGCAGGCAGACACATGTCGGACCCGCCTCTCGACGAACTCAATCCCAGGATCAGACTCAAACTCTGCCTGCAGGTCAACCAAGAGGTGTGCAGCGAATACGCCGAAGCTGAAAGTGAGCTTTCTATTCGATCCTATTAAAAACAAACCCTATATTTGTTTACAGCCAACTTTTTTGCTGTACGTATTTATTGAATTTAACTTTTACGGTGGCATGTGTATTCGTCGTAGAACACGTGTTCCACTCGCTCATTGGTTTAATTTTGTACAAAATCAAAGGGCATCTCGGATCGAAGATGCGATTAAAGCAACTTTATTCATCTGTACCCTCCCTGGCTGCGGAAGCTAAAAAGGGTCAAACGTAAAGCGCTGTACATACAGAAAAAAAGTTTTCTCGAAACTTCTCGTGTTTTAATTAATTTGTTTATCTAAAATCAAGTTTAAATTGGACATTTATTTCAGTCGGACAGTCGTACGTGAAGGAAGCGTCTACCTTGAAAACGGCAACGATGCTCGCCATTTTGTTTTCCGCGATCATGTTCGTCGTGGTCGCAGCCTTACTGTTCATATTCTGCCACTGTAAACGAAAGGAGAGCAAGAAGGACAGGTCTAAAGATTACGAAATGGACTCCATGAGGCCGGCGATGGTCACCCCTCAGAACCAAGCGCCGCCTCCTTACTACCCAGGAACCGGTATGGAAAACAAGGCTCTGGAACATTCCATGGATCTTGGCCTTATGGATGATTCCAAGAACAACATGTACGCCACTCAAGGAGGCTACCTCTGCAACGTTCCAGTTCAAATCAAAACTCATCACGGACAAGCCATTCCTAATTCTGACTGTGAGTATTGAAATTGTACAACTATAGGTATAAATAATACATTATTCTTTGAAATCAACAAACATAATAATAATAATCGGTCCTATTATTTCCGGCCAACGAGAGAGAATCCTTAAAATGAAATTACGAAACATGTCGGGATGTACATTTTCCAATTTACTAGATGGAAAAGCGTGCGGCTTCTTTAATTTGCTTTCGTTTCTTTGAACTTATTTTTTTATTTATTTTAACATTTTGTTTCTTGTGCTACCGACGAGGACTACGAGCGACGGTCACGCAAGGTAAACCAACTATAAGCGAGACGCGTTCGCTTCGACGTTACACATTCCAGGGGGATCATTGTCAACTTTTTTTCCAGGGAACATGGGCTTCGTCGAGAACAGCTATACGAATAGCAACAACGGGGGTAGCGTGAACTCGCAGGACTCTCTGTGGCAGATGAAAATGGCCGCCGGTAACAACGGGGGAGCTATGCCCGCGCACCAGCTCCTAGACCGACAGAGCAACTACGAGTACGACGGGATGACGCACGGCGGGTACCGCGCCGTGGACGACTACGCGCCGTACTCGCACCTGCCGCCCCCCGCGCCCGCCGACTACAGCCTGCACCCCCCCTCGCGCCAAGACTACTGCTCCGACCCCTACGCCTCCGTGCACAAGCCCAAGAAGCCCAGGGCCGACCAACACATCGGTGAGTAACCACACCCGTGCCAAAGCTTAGGGTTTGACGATCGTATATGATTACAGTGGCCACTAGTTTCTGTAATTAAGTGTCTAAGCACACTATGCCGAAATTACGTTGCGTTATAGCGTACAACGTAACTTCGGTCGGGCGTAAATTCAGCGGCAAATTATTCTGTACCTTCACGCAATGATAACCATCGGTACAAATACTCGTTTGGTTGTATGTACGTATATATGTACGGTTGTACGGTGTGTATGTACGGTTTATGAAGAAAGAAAAAAAAGATTACGTCCGCAGGTATCACCATCTTGCCCATTTCTGCCATGAAGCAGTAATGCGTTTCGGTTTGAAAGGCAACCGTTGTACTGCTAAAACTGAAACCTTACAACTCTTGTCTGACGGGTGGGGCAGCCGTTGTGACTATACTGAGACCTTAGAACTTATATCTCAAGGTGTGTGGCGCATTTACATTGTAGATGTCTATGCTCCGGTAACCACTTAACAGGCCGTGAGCTCTTCCACCTATCTAAGCAATAAAAAAATAATTAACAAGAAGTATACGTTTGTCAGAGTCACCGTACCACGAGGTGAGCGGGTTGCCGGAGTACTGCGGCGCGGGTCCGACGGAGGAGGGGGGCGCGGAGGACAAGGCGGCGCACATGTCGCTGTGCTGCGACGAGTCCCTCGAGTCCGGCTACTCCACGCCCAACTCCCGCGCGCGACGCGTCATCAGGGAGATCATCGTCTGAACGACACCCGACGCCGCAGCTCCGTGAGTCCTCACCGCCTCAGAGCGCGGGCACACGATGGGTGCGGCACCGCAACGCGTCGTGTGCCCCCGCTCTCACTGACGCGACGCCTACTTACAGCGTATCATTAGGGTTGCCACACGTCCTCCGACTCCACAGGAAAACATTAGGGTCGCTGCATCTCTATTACCATAGTATTGTTCTCAGTTTAGTGTTAACACGCTTTATAATATATTAAGCTACGGTAAAATACCCAGTTTATAGAAATTGTAATTATTTAGAGATAAAAAAAGGACGTGCCTAAATCATCAGAAAATGATGGAAGACATTATAACAGTAATAAAACTTAAGTAAGAGTTCTCTATTTTTACTTAGTTTCCATTATTTTCATAAGCAAATTACACATCGTGGCGACCCTGGTTATCGTTAAATTTCGTAAGCCCCCTCCCAAATTATTTTTGTACACAGATAATAACCTACGTAAAGAAAAGAATTTCGCTTCGGTAAATGCACAGGGTAAAATGTAGAATAACGAAACGAAAATTATTATTGAAATGATTTGTTTAATTATTTTCGTCCTCGGCATACCGCGTGAACTTTGAATCTGTTTTGGGTTAGAAACACAAATCAATTGAAAACTAAATGCTCCACCAAAATAATGTATCTTTACGATTTTAATTACACGAAACGTATGCTTAACTAGAGCTGCCAATTAATATAGTAAGGTCATTAAAATACAATTTAAGTCGTAATTCCTCAATCATTTCGTTCATATAATTTATTATCATGACATACGCTGAAACGAAGAGAAGAATCCTGTCCCAATTTTAATGAATCTCTCATCATAAACCTTTTCGTGTTTCGTCACGGTGCGCATTTATTAAATGAATGTTTAAATGAAGGGCCCGTTAGATTTAAATCTTCGATGCCTAACGTTGTGATTGTTGTGTCAATTGTGATATAGGGAACGCACGTTGTGACGGTTCATTGAATTCGAATTATTGTGTATGTAATGCAGTTAATGGAAACCGGAAATGTAATCTAATGTTATGTACAATAACAGCGCTATGTTCTAACACTAGATTTTGAAAGGCAGTGTATAAAACGAACAAGTAATGAAACAGCGATAGAGTAGAGACGAACAAATTCGACTAAAAATAATCGATTTTAATATTTTGTTTTGAAAAAAAAAAAAAAAAATTTGTTTGGGTTTTGATAATTTTTTGAAATCGATTTTTCTATAATCGTTAAAAAAATACGGTATACATCTAAAACGTTGACGTAACATTTAGTCTAATATTAGTACTTAATACAAATTGATACAGTTTTGTATTTCTCAACACTAAATTACAAAAATACAATTTAAAGAAATTCATCTTACAAATTATAAACCAAGGAAGAGATATCATTAATAGGTACGTTTATCTCAAAAGCGGACGTTAATTCGTTCACTTAATTATGCACATTGTCTTGTGAGTCAAATTGCTTTGATAAGCTTTGTTAGCAGACTGTGACAGATTAATATCGAAATCGGACGTAAAATTAATTTATGCAATGAATACACTATTAATCAGTAAACGAATAATAATCAAATTAAGAGATTAAAAAAACCGAAACAAATCTAAAAACCCTGCCCTAGAAGTAAACCGGTCAGTTTTCGTAATTTTTATACGTCAATTTCCCAGTGAACGATTTTACAAAAAACATTCGAATTGTATTTCCTATTTCCACAAACATGCAAACGAGTAAATGATTATGAATGTTGATCACTATTATACTTATATTATATACAGTATACTGGGAGTTGTTTGTAACTTTCTTGTGTGAAAGCTGCATTGCACTCGCCGTACTGGACTACAGTACTATTGATGTTTTGTAAATAAAAAACTATCATAATTTTGTCTGTTAATTATTATAATCTTAAGAAGTTCTAACTGCCAGTTTGAGCAGCTACACATTTTGGTGGTGAACAATTAGAATAATCGCTTTTAAGTGAATTCCACTTGTAACGGGATCATTGAAAGGATAACTGGTTCAAATACGGCCGGTATCTAACACAACGCTGATAACTAAGTATATAAAACAGAAATGAAACTAAATCAGATACCAGAAAGCTTATTCGAGCGTTATTTGTGCCGTCAGTGTCGTTTGGTTTGAATCGTAATCCTTTGCCCGTTTCATCTATCCGTTTCCGCCAATAACCTACAAGACTCTTAGCATTACGGTCTAGAGGAGCGAAAGATCTATAAAAAATAACCTAGACAGTTCTTGAAGAAAGGTTTTTTGACCAATTTCTTAAGAGCTTCGCTACGTACAAGTACCTCCTCGAGGTCAAAGATGAGAATCCATGCTTGTGAACACGTAAATTCCATAAATACCACTCGACGTAATTATTCCTCGAGGAATGACAGCAATTCAAATTACGTCAAGGGTCTCACTTAAAATTCTCTAGTCTACTCGATAATTCACACGAGACGAATCATTCACGGCTTACAGTTATGTACACAAGGTCTACTTTCTATTGAAGGTTGTATTCCGATTTTTTTAGATTAACGTACTTAATAGCACCGTAAGTTGTAAATATTGTATTTCTTGTTAACGTCTTCACTTTTTTTGAAGAATAAAGAATTTTTAGTGAAGTTAATTAGAGTTTAAAAAAATAATTTAAGGATTTATGATTAAATTTATCTTATTGAAATTCTTGTTCGCTTCTATTTAGATGATTAAAGTAATAAATTCACATGGAAGCCATCGATCGTACTCGTAATTTTAGGTGATGAGCCGCGTACATCACTGGACGTGATGTGGATCACAATTTTTGCTTCCACTTGAGCATTCCTCTTTCGAAGTAGTAGAGCAGTATGTTATTCAAAACAAATGCTCTTTATAAATAGTTTAGTGTGGGGCATTAGTGCAATGAATAAAACCGGTGCTCCGTTCGAATTATAGTCTTCTCAGACGAATGCTCATTTCGGAAACTAATTAGTCAGTCAGTGTGTGTGTGCCTTTCGGGCTATTCGTATGATTTATGTATAGATGTAAAGACTGCCTTTAAATCTCGTGAGAGTATAATTTTATTGTTTATCAATAATAAGCTCTTGTAAGTGGGGTTGTGAAGATTCTGAGAAGATTTGTCGAGCAATTAACGGCTGCTTAACAAAAGATTTCGCATTAATATAGAACATTACATATTGTAAGTTAATTAAATATTGAAAGTGTTAGTCAAAACGAGTTGGTATAACTGATGATACTAACTTAGATAGATAGACGCAAACAAAAAATGTTGGATAAATATATTTTGTATTGTATTGCAAGCAATGTAACACAAATAAAATCGACTGACGTCTAGAATCAACGATAAAGGGAGTAGGCGGGGTGGGTCTACCAGTTTTCTTGAGCTAAATTGCTGGCTCACGAAATTTAAAGTTTCTGAAATGATATCTAATGATATTTATGTTAAACCAGTAAATGAATAGTGTTTTCCGTTCACGTTAGATATGTTAGTTTTTGTTTTAGATTCGGAAACGATCTCTTTATACCCTGTATACAGGTGTAACAGAATGCCCTTTCCGAAGTGAACACTTTCTTAACTTAACCGGAACCGAAAATGACATTTATTTGCTAATTCAAGTAACCTTTTAAAGTTTTCAATATTTCCTGAGCGCGCAATGTAAAGCTTACAATTTTTCAGGAATCATTCCCATACAGCCAATCGCGTTAAGAATCTATTTGAACGTTAGTGACATTAATGACAGGGTGTTACTAAGGCATCTGTATTACAAGTAAATAAATATATATAAAAAAATTTTTTTTTTTTTTGGGAACTGCTGCCGTAAATATGACATTGACCCCATTTTGTAAGTACCTAATAAACTTATTCTATTACTACCGCTTACTTACTATTCTTTTTATGTACAGTATTGTTACACTAGACAACCTAATCTAGAGTTCCATCGACATTAGTCTACCCACAATTTAGATCATTATCGCGCCGTATACTACATTTAATTACTGAATCTTTTATTACATGAATACTTTACGTATCGAAATTTATAAACAATATTTTTTCTGGTTCATTTACTTTTAACCTATTCACCTATGCGACTTTTTTGAGAAAAGTTGTCAAAATGTGAAGAAAAGTTCACACAGTTGGCGAAGCATTAGTCGCGCATTATACGTTCAAATAGATTATTTTCGAGCATTATCTGATTTTCAATTCTTTAGTTTATGAACAAACAAAAAAATCTAATATCTCTTTGGGCGTAGTTAATAGCCTTGTATTTCCGAAAAGTATCAAAGAGAATATTTTCAAAGTATTCGTCTCCCGAAATGATATTGGAACGAAGTGTCCCACCTATATTAGCAAAAGTGATACTTGAGATGACCGAGACTTTGATAATTAAATTAATGTTTTTTTTTATGTATTTATAACTTTTAGGGACTTATGATGAATTATTAGCATGATTTAGATTTTTTCGTATTAGTTTTTAATTTTTCTAATATAATCTCAGTGACATCACGGTTTTACGAAGAAAATGAATTTTTCATTATTTTTTTATTATTATTATTATTATAATTATTATTTTCAATTTCATAGACACATAAGATAGAAAAAATATATATATTATGTGTTGTCTAAAAAAAGAGAACAATATAAATATTATGTAGGTACACTTAATGTTATATGACTCCGTAAATGTCAAGTTTGTTACTGAAAATCGACTCCGCAATAAACATAATGTATTAATGTAATTAATAACCAACTGTAAGATTAAGTTCTATGACATTCATTAGCCAATACTTGTACTTTAGTAGAATCCGTATTATATAAATATTAAAGAGGTTAGCGGATATTATTCAAACATTACGAAGCCTAATTACTAAATATTGATCTCATTTCATGGCACACCTAAATATGTAGCTTCGTCTAAAATCGTACCAATCTAGAGATCGCTTATTACGTTCGCAATATACTTCAAAAGGTGGTTACTGTTTTTTATATTGGTATTAACATATTGATAAGTGTGATAATATTGTAAAATCACTGATTACTGCCCGTCAATCCCAAGCTAACAATACGTTTGATGAATGAATAATGTTTTACATTTAACATTCGTTACAGGGAAACGTCTATGTTCGGTTTAAAATTAATAATACAAATGATTAATGTAGATATAATTTTTTTAATCATAGTAATGTATGTAATTTTATCTGTAATAACACTGCCTCTCTTGGACTTGTGCCATAATCCTATTATACTTATAAGTTCTACGATTAGGGCATCAGTCCAACGCGAAAAGTCTTAAATCTAAAAACTGTAAAACCAGATAATTTAGAAACACCCAGTAACTTTGAAACTTGAAGCATTTATCCATGATTACTAAACATTTTTTTTTATTTTATTATCATTTCTTGGGAAAAAAATGACCAGTGAAATTTCTTAACTTCTACTGTTTTAAAATCAGTAAAGTATTTAAAATTGAAAAAATAAATTTATTTTTTATTTACAGTTGTAAATTATAATGCATTTTGCATATATGAACTGCATTAATTATATATTTTCTTGAATATAAAAGTCATATTGCACTGTTGTAATCAAATGTATCAAATAATAAAATATAACAATTAGCGTGCGTCACTTCCGTATCAAAAATAAAATGGTTGTTCGTTTTAAATTCAAACAATTCTTACCCGGAAATGAAATTAATCAGATCCAATGAAATTCAATCAAATCGAAGTTAATGTAAAGTAGTATTAATTTTATATCTCTAATAAATATTTAGGTCATAAGACTGTAAGCCTAAATGTTTATGTATTACGAGGTACATCATCGAGAGTAAGATTAAGAATGAGCCATACATTAATATTAATAATTTTTCGGGACATACTAAATAAACAATTGTAAATATTATATTAAGCCTTTACGTACAAATAAATGAATTTTATGAAAACTGTTGTTTGTTTGATTTCATCATGGTTTCTGACATTTACTAACTTCCCTTAAGAACGAAAAAACCCGTTTTTTCCAGGTCTAGTTTTATTTTTATTTTTTAGATGGATGGATGAGCTCACAGCCCACCTGGTGTCAAGTGGTTACTGGAGCCCATAGACATCTACAACGTAAATGCGCGCTATGACATGTCCTTCTTCAAACGAGGCTTGTGGAGAGTATTAAGCGGTAGGCAGCGGCTTGGCTCTGCCCCTGGCATTGCTGAAGTCCATGGGCGACGGTAACCACTCACCATCAGGTGGGCCGTATGCTCATCTGCCTACAAGGACAAAAAAAAACCCACTTTGAGATATAAGTTCCAAGATCTCAGTATAGTTACGTGCTCATGCTCTTCAGATTTCAACATCACTTATGGTTCTAAATTATTGGTAAGTATGTAATTCTAAGTACAAGCTATTGTTTATTATCGATGAAAAATACCAATATGTAGCCAGCCGAGCAAACAATTTATTATATACTTTTTTTGTTTTATTTGCATAATCGACTTACTCGTGAAGGAATTGTGTTTATATTAAACAAATATTTTTGATATCATTTTCCGAAGCTACGCAATAACACGACGTGTGAGGCAAGTTTTCACTCTTTTACATAACTACCCTTCACTGTGTGTTCGCTCGAGAAAATACGTCCTATTCTATTATATTTGCTGAGATATTCGGAAATCACATTTTATATCAGCGGTACAACGTGTCGAATTCTTAACTTTTTTCTTCGTTTTTTTCCTTCCGTTATTGAATTATAAGGCTGGAAAATGAGCTAAAAACGCCAGTCTACGTTTTAAATAGGTTTATTGTAATAATTTTCACTGGTGGTAGGACCTCTTGGGAGTCCGCACGGGTAGGTACCACCACCCCGCCTATTTCCGCCGTGAAGCAATAATGCGTTTCGGTTCGAAGGGTGGGGTAGCCGTTGTAACTATACTGAGACCTTAGAACTTATATCTCGAGGTGGGTGGCGCATTTACGTTGTAGATGTCTATGGGCTCCAGTAACCACTTAACACCAGGTGGGCTGTAAGCTCGTCCATCCATCAAAGCAATAAAAAAAAAAACCGTATTTATTAACCAAAAATGGGTCATCAAAATATAAAACTATACATTTTATTTCCGCTCGGAGTTCAGTGGTAGGGTTGACGCCATTTGGTTTTCAGAAAGACATAATATAATATATGGGTATGTAAGGTGAGCTGAGATCACGAGTGGATCAGTGGCGAGCCCTCAATGTGTAAACAAAACCGTACAAATTCTATTCATATGCATATGTAGGCAGCGGCTTGGCTCTGCCCCCCTGGCATTGCTGAAGTCCATGGGCGACGGTAACCACTCACCATCAGGTGGGCCGTGTGCTCGTCTGCCTATAAGGGCAATAAAAAAAAAATAAAAAAAAATATTTCTACCTTCCAATCTATCTATGCTACCTATAAAATTATAAAGGTCTTTAATAATTGTATAATATTAGAAGTTTAATTTAGGAAAGTTAACAAATAACCGTACGTACACACATAATCCATCTCATTATTCCCGAGAATATTTAACAGGAAAATATTCACCGTTTTTCATTTACATCGCCTAGTTCCTTATTAAACTTCCTTAAAAAATTACTATTTTATGCTTTTAATTAAAAAGAATATGAAAAAACGGTCACGCACACACACACACAGCGAGATATTAAGTTCTTAAATGATGATTTCGCGGTTAATACGTATCTATACGATGGGCCGTAAAAGTGGATATGCATTAAACCAACCCATATCCCGGTCTCTGTGAGTTAAAGTGACATTAAAATACTCACATTCACCTTTTCTTGAAGTTATGAAGACAGTGAGTGCATTAGCGGCTCTCGAAGTGAGCGAGGATACTTTACTTTATACTTGTATTAAACAATACAAGTATGATAGATGTGTGGTGCTATTTTTTTTCTTTTTAGATATTCAACGAGCAGAGTTCTACCGGGAAACTATCACGCCATAGATAATATACTTAAATATGCGGTATACGTCTTAATGCAATGCAATTGAGATTTCGAGCTAATTATAGGAGACGCTGGTGTGACGTGAAAATAACTACACCGTATGTTTTGTGAGGCACCGCAGGTAAAGTAAGTTTTGTAAGGCAGTGAATTAAAATTAAATAATGTTTTTTTTTTGTTGGGCGAAAGAGCTCACGGCCCACCTGGTGTTAAGCGGTTACCGGAACCCATAGACATCTACAAAGTAAATCCCGCCACCCACCTTGAGACATGAGTTGTAAGGTCTTAGTTTTAATAGTACAGCGGCTGCCCTTCAAGCCGAAACGCATTACTGCTTCACGGCAGAAATAGGCGTGGTACCCACCCGTGCGGACTCACAAGACGTTCTACCACCAGTAAAAAAAACGTATTCTTCTGACTCACATGATGATCTTCTCTCCAGCGAAAGGAATACTCTTTTTTTCCTACCTATTCGAGGGGTCATCCTATATTAACCGGGCGAGTAGGTGAGCTCACGGGGCTCTAACCTGGAATTTTTAAGTCGCAAACTAGAAACAAACACTCCACAATAATATCTATCATCAGTACTAGTACGTTGCATTTGTGATGAAATCAATTAGCCTAGTTCATCTTGAAAACTGGGTATCGGGTAGTGCTTTAGTCTTCTGTGATCTCCAAGTAGATGTCTTAACTGATCACTTTAATGTGTTCGACTCAAGGCTGGGCCTGCAAGCAACGAAGTGGGTGGCTTACTAAAATACAATGAAGTACATTTTACAACATTCACGCAAAAGTATGCACAAAGGGGACTTTAACTAGAACTTCGGTTTTGTACCAGCAAACCTCAAATTTATCAAGGGAAATAAGATATGAGCCGGTCTAAAGTACAATTAGTAAAAATAATCAAATAGTGATGATTACTTATTTAGTGACGCGCGAATCTTTTTTTTTTCTTTTTTTCTACCTATTCTGATAGCCTTGAGAGGCTACTTCAGCTTTGCCCTAACATGTAGGTGAGCTCACGGGACTCAAACCGGAGTATTGCTAACACTGGCCCTAGCAAGAGCAGTGCTTCGCAGAATCTACCACCGGATCGGAAATGCGACCCACAGAAGATCCGGCGAGAAACTCGGTGGGCTGTGTCTGTGAGTTGATTCGCTCGTCGAGCCCTTCGTCGCAAGCGACGGGTTCGACGAGGACGGTGACCGGCGAATCTCTCAATGAATTGATATTGAATACTGTAACACATGGTGTAGTATATATTTGTCGGTTTGATGAAAAATCACAGTTAAATGTTACACTGATATGTACTTACATAAAAGATACTACCTATATTATAATCAGTCTATAAATTACAGAAGTTGAAAGTAGTCAAACTTTGAACAGCTTTATATTATCATCGAAGTCAGCTAAGTAACGGCCTATCTAGTAAATAGTTACCGTAGCTCAATTTTATTACCAATGCTAAGTTTCCCAAAGTTATATTAATGCTCATTTCGCGCGCTATGAAATGCCTGCCTATCTTTAAAGGAAGCACCATAGAAGAAATTTCATTCTACAGATTGATGTTACGTTTTTTTTTATTGCTTAGATGGGTAGACGAGCTCACAGCCCGCCTGGTGTTAAGTGGTTACTGGAGCCCATAGACATCTACAACGTAAATGCGCCACTCACCTTGAGATATAAGTTCTAAGGTCTCAGTATAGTTACAAAAGCTACCCCACCCTTCGAACCGAAACGCATTACTGCTTCATGGCAGAAATAGGCGGGCTGGTGGTACCTACCCGTGCGGACTCCAAAGAGGTCCTACCACCAGTGATTACCAGTAAGCAAATTATAATTTTGCGGGTTTGATTTTTATTACACCATGTTATTCCTTTACCGTGGAAGTCAATCTTGATTTGTTGAGTACGTATTTCATTAGGAAAATTGGTACCCGCCCGCGGGATTTGGACACCGGTGCATCGCTACATACGAATGCACCGGACGTCTTATCATTTAGGCCACGACGACTGAATCGTAATCTTACGTGGCAGAATCGTATCTGAGAGCGATCTGAAGTGACAAGATTATTCAGACCGAAATTGAATTATGCCCTTATCAATTATTGTAGTAGTACTCAAATGTTTTCGAAAATAACTTTGCAAAGCATTTTTGCAAATAAAACATCTTTTTGTGAGAAAGACACAAACAGCGCAACGGCTTTTTGATTAGTTCGTAGGTACTTAAGAAATAATATTAATTAACTTACGTACAGAAAAACGTTTGTGCTAAATACCAAGAGTTTTTTTTTTGCAAAGCCTAATGCTCCCGGAGGCCTCTTGAGACCGATTCCGCTTAGTCACTTCTAAAGGTCGTTAGGTGATAATGACTTAAGTTATTTCAACAGAAAAATTATTGAAAATATATAATTTTCACAATTTCGTTGACTTAGGAATAAAAGAGAGAGGTTCTACTGGTGGTAGGACCTCTTGTGAGTCCGCGCGGGTAGGTACCATCGCCCTGCCTATTTCTGCCGTGAAGCAGTAATGCGTTTCGGTTTGAAGGGTGGGGCAGCCGTTGTAATTATACTGAGATCTTTAGAACTTATATCTCAAGGTGGGTGGCGCATTTACGTTGTAGATGTCCATGGGCTCCAGTAACCACTTAACACCAGGTGGACTGTGAGCTCGTCCACCCATCTAAGCAATAAAAAAAAGAGAGAGAGAGAGAACATACTTTATTGCACACACCAAAACACAATTAACATCAGAAAACAGTCAACAAGCAGATACGTTTGTACAATAGGCAGTCTTATCGCTAAAAGCGATCTCTTCCAGACAACCGTTTAATTACCAGAAATTCTGGACAGATAAAGATACAGCAGGTATGTTACTATTAACAACACATTATTAAAGAAAATACACACATACAATAAACAGATATATACCGTTAAACACAATAATCACCACAATCAATAAG